GAACCATACTCACATATTATGAAGAAATATTAAGCAGGAAGGAAGGCGAGGCGTCACACTCACTCACAAGGTGAACAAAACAAGGAATTTCCATACCAGAGCCGGTATTAACTCCAAGGTTGTGCTGGCAGCGTGGGAACTGACCCGTTATAATAATCGTGAAATACTAAAATTGCCATAATTAAAATAATTTTTAAAATGAGTTTTAACTTTTAATTTTATCCAATAAGAAAAGTATATGAATCATGTTGTTTCTTCGTCATTAACCTTGAATGTGGTAAAGGAATTACCGTATTAAGGATCATTTTCTTATTATACTCTACGTGTGTTTCCTCTTTCAGTACATTTCGTTATGTAACATACCAGGTAAATATGGGTGAGGGTCATTCTTTAAGTCTTGGCTAATATCGGTGAGTTTAGTCATATATATATATACTGTATATATATATATATATATATATATATATATATATATATATATATATATATATATATGCAAGTAAATCACTGAAGGTGCGCGTGATCTAGGTATATGCTGATAACCACAAGGAAAGAAGAAAACACGAAGTTCCCAAGCGCTTTCGTGTAATTCACATCTTCAGGGGTGAGTACAGACTAAAGAGAAATACAAACCAAGGTGTATATATACAGAGGAGGGTGAGACCAGGTCCATAATGGTCAGGTATTAGGTAATGACCCTACTAATCTTTAAATAGCACACAACGGTTGGTGGTCAGGTCAGAGGGTAAGGTGACCCAACTTTCTCACCTGGTTACAAATCTTCTTAATTACAAAATTGTCCAGTTTGTACATGCCATTACTCAAATTCATGTTGAATGCTTCGGTATGTTTAATAAGACTAGATTCTATGATGTTCCTACTATCAATTGAATTACAAGGTAATATTGAGGAGGCATTATCCCAGTCAATGCAATGCTTGTTATCCCTCAAATGAACAAACAGAGCATTGGATTCCTGGCCTGTCCTAACACTGTATTTGTGTTGTTTAATTCTAGTTGCAAGATCTTTACCTGTCTGGCCTAAGTAAAACATATTACATTCCTTGCAAGGAACTTTATAAATGCAACCAATTGTGTTGTTGGGGGAGTTCTTGATTAACATTTGTTTAACAGTGCATGAGTTTTTAAATGCCACATTGACGTTCCAGGTTTTTAGTTGTGAAGGAATGTGTGAGAAATTTTTGTGAAATGGTAATATTAAGATATTCTTATGGTCATGGGTGGGCTTGGGATCAGTTCTATAAAAAGTTTTCTTAGTAATGTTTAGGCATTTGTCTATGAAAGATCTAGGGTATTTAAGGTTTGAGCCAATATTATAGATATATTTGTATTCCTCATCAATGAATTCCAGACTGCAAATTCTCAAAGCACGTAAAAACATTGTTGAAAATACTGACTGTTTGACTCTATTATGGTGGGCAGAATAATAATGAATGTATGAACACACATTAGTTGGTTTTCTATAAATACTGAACTTAAAAGTGTTACCTATTCTGTGTATCAGACAGTCTAGGAATGGCAATTTACAGTCTTGCTCTAATTCCATAGTGAATTTGATCGAGGGGGCTAAGTTGTTAAGTTGTGGCAGGAAAGCTTTTAGGTCCTCATTACATGGCCAGAGACATAATACATCATCAACATATCTAAACCAGACTGCTGAAGGTGGTAAAATATTACTTAATAGTTTCTTTTCAAAGAATTCCATATATAGGTTGCTTAATACAGGTGAGAGTGGATTACCCATTGCCATACCTTTGTAAAGAGTGATGTTACATCCTATGTATTAAGGATTGTAAATTTGAATTCAATGGAGAACATTATGCTCAAAAATTTGATACATTAACAGCTTCCATACGTCGCCAGGCACATTAATTAGGCATGTGGGACATCTTAAATATATTGCCACACGCTACTAGCTAGGCTGAATAAATAATATATATAAATGGAGCACATACATAATATACATACATACATATATATATATATATATATATATATATATATATATATATATATATATATATATATATATATATATATATATATATATATATATATATATATATATATATATATGCAAGTAAATCACTGTAGGTGCGCGTGATCTAGGTTTATGCTGATAACCACAAGGAAAGAAGAAAACACGAAGTTCCCAAGCGCTTTCGTGTAATTCACATCTTCAGGGGTGAGTACAGACTAAAGAGGAGTACAAAACAAGGTGTATATATACAGAGGAGGGTGAGACCAGGTCCACAATGGTCAGGTATTAGGTAATGACCCTACTAATCTTTAAATAGCACGGCAACGGTCGGTAGTCAGGTCAGAGGGTAAGGTGACCCAACCTTCTCATCTGGTTACAAATCTTCTTAATTACAAAATTGTCCGTTTGTACATGCCATTACTCAAATTCATGTTGAATGCTTCGGTATGTTTAATGAGCATTCACCACCTACCCTTGACCTAATGCATGGGACCGCGACCATACCACAAGAGTGCATTCTACTGTGCATATCGAGCTGATATTATATATATATATATATATATATATATATATATATATATATATATATATATATATATATATATATATATATATATATATATATATATATATATATATACACTGTATATACAAGGCGGAAAAGGTTACCAACATAGGAACCCAACGACTACACCGATGGACGAAGGAAATGCATGACGGTCAGGCTTTACTAAGGCAAAACCCAACAAACTGGGTTATCTGTAGTCCATTACAACTCTCCCTCTCCCTACTCGTTGCAACACTTGTACCACTGGATTAGGAAAAGGGGGAGCCAAGATGTGTGGTTGCAGCCTGCGCTTCTGCCTCACCACATAAATCAACTCACGCGCAGCCATCATAAAGCTCATTATTCTTCTTATCATCATCAAAACCCTTATACCCCTAAACGTCCTTTAGCGACGGACGTGTGGCGACGGGGACAGGCAGAGATAAATACCGGAAGTCTCTAGACACAATTCTACACATAAGCGGCATAGATAAGATGGTCGCTTAATGCAATGGGATCGAGGCAGTAGTGCAATCCGGCCTTGTCTGTGCGACTGAGTAGCCCTTTCGAGGAGCCACTCTGCTCACTCCACATGGGGAGGGGGCTAGAAAAGGTGCCCAAAACATTGACTGCCTAAAGAACCAACCTGATTAGGAAACCGCACCCACTAAGGTCATCATTAGGCGGTCGAAAACACAATCATAATCCCAGATCAAAATAAAAACAAACTATACAACCTCTTGTAGTCGCTGCATAGCATGTTAGGACCCTTCTGGATACTGGCACAAATGAGTGTCATGAAAGAAGAACCACCCTTGTGGCAAAAAAGCTGGCTAGGTTTAACATCGACATAGCAACCATTAGTGAGTTCCGGGTCCCAGACGAGGGTCGGCTCACAGAACGAGGGTCTGGATATACCTTTATCTGGAAGGGTAAGCCTGCTGTGGAGAAAAACCGTATTTATGGAGTTGGCTTTGCCAATGCATCCTACATAGGCTAACTAAAATGCCTGTTGGGATCAAAGAGCGCCTCATGATGCTCCGAGTCCTACTGAATCACTCACGTCATGCCTTCTTTATCAGTGCATACGCCCCAACACTGGATGCAGAGGATGACATGAAGGAAGCCTTTACGCTGACCTTGACAGAGTGGTAACCTCTATCCCGAGAGAAGATAAGGTTGTGCTTCTTGGTGACTTCAATGCCAGAGTTAGTAGAGATGCTGACATTTGACAAGGAATCAAATGGAGAAATGGGCTAGGCAAGTATGGTTCCAAGGGCCTACTCCTCCTCAGCAACTGTGCTACATACAACCTCACTATCACTAATACCTTGTTTAGGCAGGCCGACAAGTTCAAGGGTTCGTGGCCACACCCACAATGCAAACACTAGCATCTCATTGACTACATCATTGTCAGAGAAAGAGACCACCGAGATGTCCTCATCACTCGAGCCATGCGCGGCTCAGTCACTGTGAAGAGGTTTTAGCACTAAGCGTCTGGAGGACCCAGCAGTAGCACATACTTTCAGATAACAGCTTGAACATAGGCTGATAAACAAACCGACAACAAACAACCCAAATCCCAGTGGCGAATGGGGCATTCTCGACACAGTCATGACAAAAACCTGCAGAGAGACCCTCGGCCAGATCGAAAGAATACACCAGGACTGATTTGTTGAAAATTACTCGGAAATCAATGTACTCGTCAATGATAAACGTGCTGCTTTAACTGACTGGCAGAACAAACCTCAGTCTTGAACTGAAGCTGATACCTTCTGCAAGAAGATAGCGGCAGCCCAGCATGAACTTCTCAATTTAAAGAATGTCTGATTTAAAAATAAAGCATGTAAAACTCAAAAACTTGCAGATCAACACAAGATGCGCTAATTTCTCAATTCCACTAAAACTTTTTATGGGCTAATCACTCATGGTGCAGCCCCTTTTGCTCATCCGAAAGCAACTCCCTAATTAAAGATGAAGAAGGTATCCTTCAGCGCTGGAAAGAGCACTATCATTTGCTGCTCAATCGAAACACCGATGTGGATGTTGTGACTACTCAGCAGGTCCCTGAGCATCCAGAGACGACCTACCACAGCTATCCTCTCTCCCTGGATGAGGTAGCTCCTGCCAACAAGCAGATGAAAAATGACAAAGCATCAGGGCCTGATGGAATCCCAACCGTCTCCACTCTCTCCTGGAAAATATAGGGGAAAAGGAAGATATCCCCCAAACTCTTAAAGACGCCTCCATCGTCAATAATTATAAGAACAAGAGAGACCGGTCAGACTGTGGCAACTACCACAGGATCTTGCTGCTGTCTGTAACTGGTAAGATTAGCGCCCGAGTCCTCCTAAACAGACTTCTTCCTGAGGCGGAAAACTTCCTTCCAGAGTCTCAATGTGTCCTTAGACTACCACGTGGCACCACTGACATGATCTTTGCTACCCGCCAGATACAGGAAAAGTGCAGAGAAGAGCGTTGTAACCAGTATATGGTCTTCATCGACCTAACGATGGCCTTCGATTCAGTCAACAAGAAAGCCTTCTGGCGAGCCCTCAGTTGTTTTGGCTGCCCGCCAAATTCATCGCCATTGTGAGGCCATCGTGGGCTTAGACAGCAGTGTCCTGCACAGTGGCACCCAGTCTGAGCTCATCCCCATCCAAAGGGGGTTAAAACAAGGATGTGGACTGGCACCAACTCTCTTTTCCATATTCTTGGCTGTCTTCCTTATTCGTGCCTGTGCCAATTTAGCCGGTGGGGTGGACATTCAACATAAGACGACTCCAGGCAAGAACAAAGGTGTCGGCAGCTTCCATTACTGAACTTCAGTATGCAGACGACCTCACCCTTGTGGCTCATACTGAATGCGACCTACAAGAGACCCTGAACAGTGAACACCCATGTAGATGCACAGGCACACGTTGGCCTTGAGGTAAATGTACATAAGACTCATATTCTCTTTCAGCCTGTCCCTGGTTCAGCCACACCTCCACCATCCATCCAGCTTAACGGCACTACCCTCTCTAATGTTACTCACTTTCAGTATCTCGTCTTCCACCTGTCCATCACTGCGGACATCGATGAAGAGATTCAATATCGGATCAAATTTGCATCTCAAGCCTTTGGCAGACTCCGTACCTGTGTGTTCAGCTATAGGGAGCTGAAATTATCTACAAATTTGTATGTATATTGAACAGTAGCCCTCCCCAGCCTGCTATATGGCAGCGAGACCTGGATCACATCCAGGAGGCACCCCCAAGGCACTTGAAAGCTTTCACAAATGTAGTCTACGTTCCATCCTCTGAGTTGGCTGGGAAGACAAGATAACAAATACCAGTGTTCTCGCTGACACCAACTGTAGGAGCATCGAGGCTACCATTATCCATGAACAACTACGTTGGACTGGCCATGTTACCCGAATGGACGACAGCAGACTGCCAAAGCAGCTACTTTACAGTCACTTAACTAATAAGAAACGTAACGCTGACGGGCAACTGAAAAGGTATAAGGATAGTCTTCAGACAAACCTGAAAAAGTGCTAAATCGACCCCTTCACATGGGAGATGATTACTCAACACCGTAACGCTTGGAAGAGCACCACACGAGAAAGTGTCAATACTTTCAAGTTAGCCCGATGCATACCGAGGCAAACAAGCGCCAACACCGAAAAGACGCTGACGCCGCTCCTCCCGCACTAGATGTAGCCCTCCACACGTGCAACATCTGTGGATATCTTACTGGTTCCCTATCGCCCTCTCTAGTCACCTCAGAACTCACCAACGAAGGTTACATCTTCAGTAAATCATATCATTGTATCATAGCTGGATTATCGTCATCCTTGATTCCAAGTGACAGCAAAGAAGTAGTTGTAGTAGTAGTAAT